GTAATCCATTGCCAGACGTGAATGAGTGCACGGAACTGACCAAATCCGCCTGTGGTCTCAACGCCTTCTGTACTAATCTGGACGGAGGCTTTGTCTGTCACTGTCCGACCGGTTACACTGGAAACTCGTACTCCATTTGCTATCCTGACTGTGAGTTTCTTTTCTTATACACAATTTAAAAGCTTTTTATTAATCATTTTTTTTGTTGATTAAATGCCTCAGTAATGAAGTGCGAGAAAGACAAGGAATGCCCGGGAAATACCATTTGTATTGACGATACATACGATGGCAAACACTGTGGATGTCAGACACCATTTGTCAGAGAAGGAGATTATTGCATATGTAATACATATTTTGAGTGCATATCCATTATATAACAAATTTAAATATAATTTTCCATCTGATCCAGTGATGAGCCGTAACTGTTCGACACTCAATACGTGTCCCCAAAACCAAGACTGCATTTATTCGGGTTCTGGTTATGGATATTGTATTTGTCCGAAAGGATTCACATTAGAGGCGAACGGCTTNATTTATTCGGGTTCTGGTTATGGATATTGTATTTGTCCGAAAGGATTCACATTAGAGGCGAACGGCTTCTGTCGGGATATCAATGAATGCGAGGAAATGAATGAATTTGAATTATGCGGAAACAACGCCGAGTGCGTCAATCTTCCCGGTGCTTATGAATGCCTGTGCGGTGAGGGATACTCTGGTGTCGGCCGCACCGGTTGTACCCGTATTTGTAAGTATCAAATATTACAGTTAAAGTATGTCATGATTCATGAAAATGACTAATGATTGAAATGTGTTTATCAGACCAATCGTGCGAAAAGGACAGTCAATGTACGCCAAACCACAAGTGTGTCCGTAAATGGTGTGAATGTTTGCCACCTTTTATACAAGTCGGCCAAACCTGTAAACGTATGTATTGTTGCTTTTCTAAACAATATATATAAATTATTTGATATGATTAATTAAATATTAATTAAAATATCATTTAAATGTAATGTCAGATCCGTGTGATTGGCACCAATGCGGCCAAAACGCTGAGTGTTCTTTGGGTGCGAATGGGACGCAATGCCGGTGCAAAACAGGCTGTACTGGAGACCCAAACACTGGTTGCATCGGTATGTTTGACAAATTAAAAAGTTTTAAGTTTTTCGATAAGCTTTCCATATTAGCAACAACTGTATTCACTGTATAAAATCAATTGTACAGTGAATACAATGTTGCCCTATGAAAGCTATATAAACATGTATAATATATTGTATTGAACTGTAAGAAATGCCATTCATAGAGTGGCTAATGTTCTTACAGTTCTATGAACTGTAAGAAAATTGCTAACGTTTAACACATTTTAAAACTATCCAAATAGATATCAATGAATGCACGTCTCTATTGCCGATCGATCCGAACGGTCCGTGCGCTGTGTCGGCCATATGTGTGAACGTATTGGGCAGTTATAAATGCGAGTGCTCTCAGGGAGCGGATGGAGATCCGTATACATCGGGCTGTTTTGGTCGCGCCAAATGCGAGACCAACTCTCACTGTCCGGACGATACCGTATGCGACAGACAGGCGGGCGTTTGTAACGACGCGTGTCTGGCGGCCATATGCGGGCCCAACACTGACTGCGTGTCCGTCAATCACGAGCCCCTTTGCCAGTGTAAGCCAGGCTTCACCGGCAACGCTAACGATTTGATCCAGGGATGTGTCAGCCCCTGCACTAACGTTTGGTGCAGTATTAACGCACATTGTATTGTCAACAGCGAGAACGTCGGTATCTGTCAGTGTATGAACGGCTTTAACGGCAACCCCTGGGCCGGCGGCGGATGTCATCCCGACTCCGGCTGCTCGGCGTCGAAGCCCTGTCTCCTCGCCGGTCAGGAATGCATTGACGGCAAGTGTGTGGAGAGCTGTCACGACA